TTTTTTAAAAAAAATATTCTAGTGAATTGCTAAAGCAACCTCCCTATCCTGGTGCCTTCCCAATGAACTATGGGCTGTGCTTGCTGGAGCTGATGACAGGAACATTCTAATCTATCCAGAGGGCACCAGGTTGAGAATGACTGTGGTGGAGTTTGGCTGGAGAAATCATAGTTTAAATCCCCATTCAATCCAAAGAGGTCACTGGGTAGCCTTGAGCCAGTTAACTCTGTCTAAGCCAAAGCTTAGCCAAAACTTCTTCATAGGTTGCTGTCAAGGTTAAGGAGAGTAACCCATCTGTCCCACACTGAAATTAAAACAATACATTTGTCTATCTATCTATCCATTTATCTATTGCACATATATCCCACCTTTCTCCAAATATGGGATCCAAGACTCAAGGTTTAGGATTCAAATGTAAATATTACTTTGTTATTGTTATTAACTGCCAACAAGTCAGCTTTGATTTATGGCAATCCTATGAATGAGAGACCTCCAAGTCACCCTATCATCAACTTGATCAAGTCTTGGAAGCTCGGGGCTGAGTCTATCCATCTGGAATGTGGTTTCCTCCTTTTCTACTACTTTCTACCTTACAAAGCATTTTTGTCTTTTTTGGTGAGTCCTGTCTTCACATGGTATGGCCACAGTACAATAGCCTCAGTTTAGTTGTCTTGGATTCTAAGGACAGTTCAGGTTACTCTAGGACCCATTTATTTGTCTTTTTTGCAGTCCACAGTATCCAGAGAACACTTCTCCAGCACCACAGTTCAAATGAGTTGAAATCCTTGGTGGGAAATATTACTTCTTCAACTTATAACAAATGGTATTCAGCTGGTGGTCAACTGAGGACAGACAAGTGGGCTACATCAGTAGAACCAAAACTATGTTGTTTTCTTTACTATTTTTAACTGGACAGAAATCTCAGGGTGAAAAACTCAGAAAGGGAAGGAATGGAGGGAAAGGGGAATGCAGAGTCTTTACTTTGAACCAGTGTAGAAAAAGGGGATCAGGAAGTGTGACAAAGCATATCTCTAAATTTACCCTATTTTGTGTTTGGTCATTCTAGTTCAGTGGGAAAAATGCAGGCATAGGTCACATGTGGCCATGAGGCTCATCTTTGCAGTCCATGAAGCCTCCGTAATAACCCCTCAAATGTTCCTAACCCTTAATTTTTCTTTTAAAAATCTGACTGATCTTTGGGCTTTTTTTTTTTTTTTTTTGCCCACAAACCAATCAAAACAACTAAAACAAGCCACTTACCCCCCTAACAATCTGCCACCTCCTCCCTCCAAAAAACCAAAATAAAAATGGAAGAAAATCAGACAAAATGGTAGTCAGAAGTGATGCAATGTCACTTACATTGGGCGAAACACAATGGTGCTATCTTCTGGGAGGGTGCCGGTGAAAATTAGCCCTCACCCATGTCTTAGATAGAGGGGGAGAGAGGTCATAATTTTAGAACAAAAAACGATGAGACCTGTGTCGAAAGGCTAAAGGCTGAGAAGGTTGAAGACTGCTGTGCCCCTATGAGTCACAAGTAGGTCTGACTCACCTCACCATGTGAATGTATCAGTGTGCATGCTAAAACAGGGCTAGACAAGTTGTGGGCCTCCAGATATTGCTGGACTGTAACAGTCCATGTTCCTCACCAATAGCTATGCTGGCTAGGATAGCTGGGGGTTATGGTCCATCATGATATGGTGGGTCTCATAATTACCACATCTGCCCTAAAGAATTCTCAAGGGAGCATAGGAAGCTGCCTGCTTTATGCTGAGCCAGACTACTGTTCCATCTAGTGTGGCATTATCCACTTTGACCAGTAGTTCTCCAGTTTTTCAGGCATGACTCTTTTTTAGCCCTACCTGAATGTGCTGGGAACTGAACCTGAGACTTCCTGTACAAAAAGCTTCTGCCCCACATCTGAGCTACAAAGGTGTTGTCAAGAGCCAGCATGACATAGTGGTTCAAGTTCTGGACTACAACACTAGGAGACTAGAGTTTGCTCAGCCATGGAAATCCACTGGATTACCTTGGCAAGTCACATTCTTTTAAGCCACAGAGCAAGGCAAGGGCAAACTTCTGCATAGATCTTGCCAAGAAAACCCAATGATAGGTTTGCCTTATGGTCACTATAGTCAGATATGACATGAAGGCACACAACAACAAACACAAAAGTTCCCCAAAGCAGTTACTATTATTTCCCCATTTCTCAAAAGTTACAAAATAGTTACCTTTTAGCTTCTCTTTCTCTCTCTCTCTCTCCAAAATTTGAATGCTGCAACTCTATGGTACAAAAGACATTCTCCTCTCACCCACATCATCATTGCCTCAAGAGCCACAACTGAGCATGATGCAAGAGCATAAACCACTACTTGAATCATGTGGAATCATTTAGTGAAGACCAACACTCATAATTATAAAAGTAACTAAAATTAGTAAACCTGCCAAAAGAGTGGTTATCCCTCATTAAGGGCCTCTACAGACCGGCCATTTGGACTGTCCTGGAGACAGGGATGGGGACTAGCATCCACACGCTGGCTGCTCCAACCCCTCCCTGAAGATGTCCTGACACCACGTGCCATTACGCATGGTGCACCGCATCAGGACATCCTTCTGGCGCAACCTTTTGATGCACTGCACTGGAAGGGGCACTAAACAGCCACACGCTGGCTCTTAGGACACCCTTTTTGCTGGCTCTGAAAGAAGCAGCATTTTGCCACTCCTTTCTGAGGCAGCAAAAGGGAGGATCAGGGCCAAGGCATCCAGCAGCCTCAGCCTCGATCCTCCGCTTCCTGGGGTGGCCCAGGGCTGCCCGTCTGCATCTCCCCTAAGTTAAATATAATGAAACGTAGAATTCAAAGATATAGACATGTTAGTCTGTAGAATTAGTATGTAGAGAGATCTTATAGCACCTTTGAGATTAACTAAAAGAAAGAAGTCAGCATCAGAAGCTTTTGTAGACTTCAGTCTACTTCGATTGTGCATCTGAAGAAGTAGACTTCAGTCTATGAAAGCTCATCCTGCCAATTTCTTTCTTTCAGTTAGGGGGGTGCAGATGGGCAGCCCCATGCCTCAGCCTCAATCCACTCTTTTGCCAGCCCTGAAAGGAGTGCCAAAATGCCGATCCTTACAGAGCTGGCAAAAAGGGTGCCCGAACAGCCACCGCACGGCTTTTGCGCCTCTTCCAGTGCAGCGCGTTAAGATGCTGTGCCATGATAATGTCCTGATGGCATGTGCTGTGCATAATAGCGTGCACCATGATGGCGTCTTTGATGTGGCGTTAGGGCGTCTGGCGTGTAGCTGCCCCTCCCCTTCCCTGCCTCCAAGACAGCGCAAAGGGCCATCTGTAGAGACCCATAGTCTCAAAGGTGCTACAAGATCTCTCTACATACTGATAATGAAACCTAATTACACAGCTTATTACACAATGAGCTGATTTATTATGTAATGCATTTAGTTACAGTCTTAATGTAACTTAAACATGCTTTCGTTATCGCAAAAAGGAGAATTAATTAAAACAACTACTTGTTTGCAGTTAGTACCTTCCAAGCTCTGACTGAAACTGATTTGTTCATTCTGGTTTACACCTGTTGAAAGACTGTGACAAGAAAATTATTGCCTGTGAGATACCGTTTTTATATAGCCTATATAAAGGTACTATAAACATGGGGTTAAATGACTCCCATATCAATGAAGAATTTCTATTTGTTCGTTTTTCCTCTGTCTAGGTTCTCCTCATAGTTTCTTCCAGCTGGGAAAGAGTGCTCAGCTATGTCTCCTCCAGTCAACATGGATTTGGGCTACATCCCCCCAGATGGTGGATGGGGATGGGCAGTGGTCTTTGGAGCATCCATCTCCATTGGATTTGCTTACTCCTTCCCTAAGGCTTTCACCATCTATTACAAAGAACTCCAGGTTGTTTATAACATCACATATAGCCAGATTGCATGGGTGTCTTCCATTATGTGTGCCTCAGCCTACGGAGGAGGTGAGTGAGATGAAACAGCTGGAATTCTTTTTCAAAAGGTGGGAGAATTAGTTTTCCATTCTAAAATATGTGGCTTTTCTTTTTAAAAAAATTCTGTTCCTTCAGGCAGATCTTAAAAATGGTTTCAGAAAAGTCTATGCACATTACACCTATTCAGAACTGAGACAACTGGATAGACTTTTTAAAAAAAAAAATGAAATATTTTGCTTTACAATGTTTTGTTAAGATTTTAATTGTTCATTAAAAACTTCAGAAAATCTAATTTTCTTACAATGACTAGTGACATGAAATATTGCTAACACAGAAATGTTTTTAATATTGAATGCTATAAGATATTTAATTTTTGATAAATCATTTAATGTTCACTTAACATGCCATCTATATTTTCTCTTGCATTTTCAAAAACACAAGCATATTTTTGCATTCATAACTGCTTGTGGAAAGTGAATAACTCATAGATAAGAAAGTTACCCTTCTTCAGTTTTCTGAGTCTTATGATAATCTTACCTTTTCTTGTAACATATGCACTTCTTGTGTAATATTTAAGTATTTTTAACATTTGCAAGCTTAGAGGACAATAATAAAAGATATCCCTGGATTGTAATTTAATTTAGATGCAGTTTCAAAGTTAAGCCTTTAATTATTGTTTTATTTTTGGAGCATGAAACTGGCAAGTTTTTTTTCTCTACAAAGATTTTTTTTAACCTATTTTAAAAGAAATTAACATATCTACAGTAATCCAGGCTGCTTTGTTGGTCAGTTAGATTTTTGTGCACTGATAGCTTTTCTAAATCTGGTCCTTTGTGCACATTGCTAATCACTGTGCTGGTATATGTGTGGTTTTTAGAAAAATGATAACCTGGTTCTATTTATTTTTTCTGATTGTTTATTTGTGTTTTAGAGAGCCAGTGTAGTGTAGTGGTATGAGTGTAGGACTAGGACTCTGCAGATTGGGGGTCGATTCCCCACTCAGCCATGGAAACCCACTGGGTGACCTTGGGCAAATCACACTCTCTCAGCCTAAGAAAACCCTGTGATTGGTTCACTTTAAGGTTGCCATATGTTGGAAATGAGTTGACAACAACAAACAAAAAGTTGTGTTTTAAGTTTTGTATTTTGTAGATTTTTACAATGTTTTTTAATCATTGTAAACTGCTTCAAGTCTTAATCTGGAAAAAAGGTGGGATAGAAAATTAATAATAGTAATAATAGTAATAATAAACAAACCATTGACTAGAGTAATTGTGCCATCCTACTTTCAATTTCTTTTTCTGTGAGCTCCTCCAATACAGTGTTCATCACTGAAGGTAACTGATTCTCCATGTCATTTTTGTAACCTGGTAAGTATAAATAAATTGCTTCTGAATGAATGTATTCAGCAGCAATAGGAACTTGCTAATTAAAATAAATTTGACATTTTCAAACAGAAAGGGTTAATTTGCTGGAATTTTAGCATTAACCTAGTTCTAGAATTAAGTTGTTAATATATTATTTAATAATTGAACAAGGAATTGTTTTAAAGGCTAACACATTTTACATTTCCCAACTGCTTACCTACTCAAAGGCTAGTTCTTTTGGGTTTTGGAAATGAAGCGTTTCTTGCTTAAAGGCAATCCTCAGGTTTAGAGAATTAGAATGTTTAGGTCAGGGGTCCCCAAACTATGGCCCACGGGCTGGACCTGGCCTGTCAAGGCCTTCCTACCTTTGTCTTCCAAAATGGCGTCTGGAGTCATGCGCATGCACATGGCATCGTGCGCACATGTGCACAACTCCGGGCACCATTTTGGAAGACAAAATGGCGTCCAGCATTGTGCGTGCATGCGCACTACAAATCAAAAAATCCGGGGACCCCTGGTTTAGGTCATGAGTAAATAAACTTACTCCAGAGTAGTTCCAATGAAATAAATTGTGTTAATGGCTTTTAACTTTAGCAGTCTCAGGCTACATCAGCACTGCAGAAATAATCCAGGTTGACACTACTTTAACTGCCATGGCTCAATGGTATGGAATTCTGAGAATTGGAGTTTGTTAAGGCACCAGAGCTCTCTGACAGAGAAGGCAAAATATATCACAAAATGAGGGTTCCCAGAATTCCACAGCACTGAGCCATGACAGTTAAAGGATTAGTTCTGCAGTATAGATGGAGCCTTAGTAGCTGATTCTTCCCCACCTTATTTTTAAGAGTAGTAAAGGATCCATCTTACTGAAACTTTACACTTTTTTATATCTATAAAATCTGGAGGACTTTAGATAGTTGTAAAAAAATTTGAAATCCATGTGAAGTAAAGACCAAAAACACAGTGAACAAAAGGGTGGGGAGTAAAATAATGGATGGCATTTTTCAGTTTCATTCTGGTAAGGTTTTTTAAAGGTCTTCTCTTTCAACTTAAATTGAAAAATAATTTGGCATAAAATTAACAGTATTTTTCCTTTTCTAATATAAATCTTATTGATTTTTTTTTTAAAAAGCATATTAAGGATTTTTGCAGATATGTGCATTCAGGTCAAATCTCACATGTGGCAATCTATCATAGGATTTCCTTGGTAAGATTTATTCAGGGGAGTTTTGCCATTGCCATCCTGAGTCTGAGAGTGTGTGTAACTTGCCCATGGTCAGCCAGTGGATTTCCATGCTTAAGCCATGATTTGAACTGTGACTTCCCAGTGTCCTGGTCCAACACACAAGCCACAATACCAAACTGGCTCTTTATTCATTATTAACCAAAAAACATTAACCCTTTTCTATTAACTCTCCTGTCACTAGTATTTAGG